GGGGCCCTAAGGATGACCCAACTCACAGCAGGAATAACATGCATCTGTGTGAGATACTAGCATGACCCTCTCATGCCCAGTTGCCTAGTGTGGCCTCATTGTGTGGATGTTGATGGAGTCTTTCTGGAGGTTGGACTTCCCTTACATCAGTGGATGATCCACTGGTTTGTTTTCTTTTCTTTTTTTTTTTAATGTTCTATATATTTATTTTTTATTAAGATATTTTCTATTCATTTTACAGATCAACCATGGATTCCCCTGTCCTCCCCCCTCCTCCCCCCAGCCTTCCTTCCCAATCCACCCATTCCCACTTCCTCCAAGACAAGGTCTCCCATGGGGAGTCAGCAGAGCCTGGTACATTCAGTTGAGGCAGGTCCAAGCCCCTCCTCCCTGCACCAAGGCTGTGCAAAGTGTCCACCATAGGCACTAAGTTCCAAAAAGTGGGCTCATGCACTAGGGACAGGCCCCGGTCCCCGTGCCTGGGGGCCTCCTAAGCAGTTCAATCTAAACAACTGTCTCGCTTATCCAGAGGGCCTAGTCTAGTACCATAGGGGCTCCTCAGCTACTGGTCCACAGTTCATGTGTTTCCACTAGGTGTTCCCGAGTGCTGAGATTAAAGGCATGCCCACCACCGCCTGGCTAATCCGCTGGTCTGTTTTGAGCTGGTAGTTGGGAAACTATTTTGTTTGGATTCTATTTGGTTTTTTTTTTGTTTGTTTGTTTTTTGTTTGTTTCTGAAGCATTTAGTTGAGGTTAGTCATTTTGTTTTCAGAACATTCGGTTACAGGCATTTGGTTTGTTTCTGGTTTTGGAAGTTTTATTAATATGAAAGCATTTGACCTTTTCCCTCCAATATCTAATTCTGTGTTTTACTCTGGCCTCTGTCTATCACAAACTCCATAATCCATAAGCACAGTACATTGGGGACAGGGGAGCCCAGAAAAAAATACACATTCTTTCGATGAAAGAAACTTTAATGGCTCTGTTGGAAACAAACATAAGGATTGATCGCCCAGTACGTTGAGTCCCCATACATTACCCATCATGTAAATGTCCAGCAAGTAAATGTCCAGGACAAGTGTTAGATACAATACAGTGGGAACTGACAGGGGAAGAGCTCCAGAGGGAATTCCTTCCGAAAGCACTGTGAAGCTTCCACCCAAAGCACAGGTCCCTAGCCAGCACAGAGAAGTTCATAATTTTCAGAAGAAAATGGGAAACAGATAGAAAAAAAAGATGAAATATTTGGAGAAAAACTGCTATTTGGTATTCTTCCTCATTTTATGGCTGATATTTTTGTTAATTCAACTTGGGGAAAAATGGGCACAGCAAAAGACAACTTGGCTTTCTACTGCCTCGCTGGAGAACATCTGGTTTTTCTGGCGTATTTCATTTCTTTGCTGTTTTCTTTGTTCTTTTCTGGGGTTTTTGTTGTTGTTGCTGTTTGTTTGTTTTATCAATCTCACAGCAGCATGTTGATCTGTTCAAATTTTTACCCCACCTTGGTTTAATATTGGAAATTCATTTGCATCTAAAAATTTACCAACTTTTAGATTTTCCAACTCACTGGAATGTATTTCAAGACAAGACTTGAAGATTTTTTTGAATTTCATTGGTAACTGGATCTCCTTTCATCACTTATTTTATTAATTTGGGTCTTTTCTCTCTCTTCCGTTTGTTTCGTTTGGCTAAGGTCCTGTCAATCTTGTTTATCTTTTCAAAGAACTGACTTCACTTTATTCATTCTTTATATTTGTTATGTTGTTTCCCATGTCATGAATTTCTTTCCTAATCTTAACAACTTCTTTCCCTCTGCTCCTTGGAGTTTGGCCTGGTCGCCTTTTCCCAGAACTTTAAGTGCATCATTAATTTATTTATTTGTAGTTGCCCTGACTTACTTACTTACTTACTTACTTACTTACTTACTTTGTTTTTTACTTTCTCTCTCTCTCTCTTTCTTTATCTTCTTTCTTTCTTGCCTTCATTTACTTCATTTTTTAAATTTATATAATATATATATATATATATATAATCACATTTTTCACTCCCACAAATCCTTCCATATTTCCCCCACCTATTCATCCAACTTCATGCTCTTTCTCTCTTAAAAAAAAAAGACAAACCCCCAAAACAAACAAAAAGCATCAAACCAAATGATTTCTTAATGTAGGCAGGTAAAACTACAAACTTCACTATCATTGTTTTTGAGATGTTGTGTTTTCATTTTTATTTGCTTCTAGAAATGATTCAATTTTTTTTCTTGTTTTTTCCAACAACTCACTCAATGTTAAATAGTGTTTTGCTTAATAACCATAAGTTTGTCTGTGTTCTAGATGGGTTTTTTTTTTGCTTTTGTAGTCTGATGCAATACAAGAAATTATTTAATATTAACTGTATTTATTATACTTGATTTTTGTCCTAATATATGATGTGCATTGTGCAATGTTTGGCTGGAATGTTCTGTAGATGTCGCAATCAAGAGAACATTATTATTCTAAACAACTCAGTATGAAGTTGCTGTCTTTATCTTTTCTCATTAGTTTTGGTTTAAATTCTATTTTGTCAGGCATTATATCAGTGAAACCTGCTTGTTTATAGATCCATTTGCTTGGAATGGCATTTTTCATTCTTTTATCCTAAAATGATGAGGTGCATTTTTTGGAGGCAACAAATAGATGAACCCTGCTCTTTGATACAATCTATTAGGCTGTGTTTTCAGATTGGGGAATTGAGACCATTAATATTCAAGATTATTGAAAGTTGTGTATTGATTCCTACCATTCTGCTGATTTTGTAGTGATTTTTTTTATTTTCCTCCATTGATTAGTATCATTCTCTCGGACTTATTCCTATCTGTAGCCTCATGGAGGGATTCGTGTTTATCTTAAGTATTAGGATTACTTTCAATATTTTCTGCAGAGCTAGCTTCGTGGCCATAATTTATTTAGTCTATTTTTATCATAAAAGTTCTTATTTTTCCCTTAAATTATGATCAGTAGCCTATATTGACAGTGGTTATCTTCCATAACTTAAAATACATCATACCAAGACTTTCTAGCTTTAAAATTTCCAGTTAAATAATCTGCTGTTATTCTGATGGGTCTTTGTACATGCCTTAGTGCTTCTCTCTTGCTGGATACTTTCTTTGTTCTGTTTAAATAATATTCTAATGAGAATTCTATGAAATGAAGTTCTTATTTGCCCTCAATGCCTTATTTATCTGAATTGACATCTCTTTTCTTAATTTTGGTAAATTTTCTATCATGTTTTTTTAATGTTTTCTATGTCTTCAGAATAAGTTTCTTCACCTTCTATTATGCCTACAACTTATAAATTTGATCTTTTCAGAGAGCCTCATTCATCTTGGGATTCTCAATATTAACTCACTGTTTTATCTTTGTCCTTGTTGGATTCTTCCAGTCCCTCCACCTTGTCTTCAAGCTCAGCATCCTTTCTTCTCCATGGTCCATTCTATTGCTGAGACTTTTTAAAAGTCTTGTTTCACTTATTTTTTATCTTATTTTATTTATTTACTATTTTATTTTACTTACTATGAAATTTATATCCAGCATTTCAGATTGATTTTTCTTCAATATTTCTTTCTTTTTGTTGAATTCTTCTCTCATTTCATCTATCGCCTTCCTTATTTTGTTTGGCTATTTGTGTCTCTAAACACGTTTATAATCATTATTTTCAGTTCTCTGTCTAGAATTTCATCTAACATACTCTTACTAGATGCCATTGCTGTAGGAATAATACTTTTTGAAGAAGTAATGTTGTCTTGCTTTTTCATATTTCTTTTAATAGTGCATTGGGAATTGTGTATTTGGTATTACTTCTCTTGATTTGGTGTTTCTTAATCAACTGTATTCTTTTAGTTGAAATATTTGTACCATTCAGGTGAGACTTGGTTGAGGAAGAATAGAATGTGTAGCTATAAAAATAGTTCTTTATATCAGGATCTCCAGGTGCCTGGCAGAGACCGTATAAATCCCGCTGTAGGACATTAACTAGGAGAATGACCAGAGCTGTTTGGTATTACCAAAAACTGTGGAAAGATGAACAACCAAGGATAACATGAAGTATACTCAGATTTTAGTTAATATGATAGAAGAGGGAGGAAAGTAAGGTAAATAAGAGAAAGTATTAAATACTGGATTGACTTTGAAGAAAAGAAATTCAGGTAGGGAAAGTTGAAGTATGGTTAGGATCTACAGAATTTAGAGATGGTTACATTGACGGAAGGTTATGATTAGGAAGTAAAAGAAGGAGGGATAAGGATGATAAAAAGAAGAAAAGACATATGGGGAACAGGAGAGTGTATGAGATGTGACAGAACAGTCTAGATTAAACTAGAAAGCTAGACTAGAGTGAAATGACTTAGAGTAAGCTGTATGGAGCCAAATAAACAAAAGCCTAAAACCAGCTGAGCAACAAACAAAAGCAAGATCATCATGACACATATGTGCGTGAGTGGAGGGTAAATGATGGAGGCTACATGATAAAAAGAATGCTTGTGGGGTCATTGCTAGTACAGATGCATGGCAGATGGTAGTACAGGAGCCATTGGCTCTGCCACCTGGGTCTTCTGGGAACCCTCTGAATCTGTTGGGGATAATTGGTTGTAGTGTTCACGAGGAGAATTTAAGCAAACCCCTTCCATCTCCCATAAATGAGCTGTGGGTTGAGTGCAATAAAGGCATTGCAGTTTGGCGTTGCTGCTTGCATTTCTCCTACTGGACCTGAAGTTTCACCCCATTCCCATTTTTGCATACAAGTACAAATGTCAACGTAGTGAAGAAGGAAATAGTGGCAGTTTTATGAAGATGGCTTTGGTCTAGAAGGTCATGCAAAGGGTTGTGGGAGTTGTAAGTCAAATGTTGTGAACTGAGGCATCAGGGAAACTGTTATTGTTTAAAATGTTGCAAAAGACTTGAGATACTTGTCATGACTGTTTCTGATCATTAAACAAATTGAAGCCTTGTTCTGTTCTTCCTCAGGGCTGTTTTGTTGGCTTTGATCTAGCACACGCTGTTGGAAATGTTGAACTCCACTTACATGACTGGGGTGTTGACTTTGCCTGCTGGTGTTCCTACAAGGTAGGAACTAGTTAATGCCTGAAATCCTTTTATTTCACATTGGTCTTATTCTAAAGAAAAAGCTTGGCCCACGATTTGGATTCTGTTTCTGTCAGTCCTGAGTTTTCTGATTCAGAAAATAATGAAGTCATATGATAGAATAACATGAAAAACAATTTAGTTCTATTCTTCCTACAACTGTAGAAAATTTATTCATTAAATTTCTACGCTACTATGAAAAGAAATTAAGTATAGAGAAAAGATTCCACACTAGAGCTTAATTCTTACTGATTAATGCCTTTAGTTTTGATGGATGTGAAAACCAAGTTATAATATCTCTACATACAGAAACGAAAATTTAGACTATGAGTATTTGACACAGAATATTTGAACAAAGACTTTGAAATCTGTTAAATCTTAGTTGAACTGCTACCTACTAGTGATGCTGGGCATTCCATGGGCACCTCTGCAGGTTTCCAGACTCTCATGTCCTGAAGGAAGGAATTGGACACAGATATATGAAGAAAGCAGGGCTGTGTGTTAGAGAAAGGTAATTTTCTAGGTAGGAAATTGCAAGAGCAAAAGGAGCTCAGTAGTTTAAAAGGCCCTACTCCGGGGGATTGCAGCTTTGGGGGCTTTTTTCTTTTTAAGCATTCATTCTATGCAAGTTCTATCTGGTAAATGTAATCCTATGTACAACTTCATGCACCACAAGCATGTGTTTTGACCAACTTATGTCTCTCCTAGGGAGTGTGTGTTAGCATTTTAGTGAGTCACAGATCACCTTCAGACACCAGCCCCTTGCATCGGATGGCACCTGCACTTTTGCTGAGATTAGTCAGCCTACAGGAGAGAATCGGACCAGCTAAGTTTTCAATACATCCAAGGTTCTCCAGGGCCTCACTCTGCCCCACTCTTCTGACGCAATAATTTGAATAAAATTTCCTGGAAAATAATATAGCTACATATTTTTAACTTAGTAATATTTTTCATTTGTTTTTCTTTTAACAGTAAGACCCAATATTCTGTTTTACTGCAGAAGCTCAAATAATCACAAATTTTGAACTGGTCAAAAGTTATGGGCTTATTGAAAACAAGTAAAAATGAAAACAGTGTTTATATTTTTCTCATGTATTCAAGTAAACCCATAAAATTTCACTTCTTTTCCAGTATTTAAATTCAGGAGCTGGAGGTCTGGCTGGTGCCTTTGTCCATGAGAAACATACTCATACAATCAAGCCTGCGTGAGTAGAATCTCCAAGCTTTTATTCTTTTACGAACAAATCTGTGCGCATTCTTAGGATGTTAAACGTTTCTAAAATTGCTCACGAACAGGAGCTGGATTAGATTATAATTATTTTACCACTCCATTAACAGTGCTATGCTTTATCAGAAAGAAATGCTTTCCAAAGACTTCAATTGGCTGGATGGGAAGTTTAATCAAAAAAGGAATCTCCAATGCAAAATGAGTTTTAGCAATCATGTAGAGCCAACGGTTTAATGCAAAAGCCCTCTTGAAATTTATACTGTTTAAATATGCTGCTTTGGCTTTCCAATTGCTATAAATACAAGCTGTCCCCCCACCCACCCAAACCACAGTCTTGTGGCCACGACATGAAAGTTACAGGTTGTGTTTGCGTTCCCCAATGCCAAGGTGTCGCATGAACCATTGGAACCAGGACTTTTACTAAGTTTCAATTGCTTTGCCCTCTGAGCTGGCCAAATCATCTTCAGAGTAAGGACAGTGGACTGAGCACTCCTCCGCCTCTGGGGAATAGAAGGATCAGCGGAAGAGGTGAAGGGTCAAGGGAAGTGATCATTGTTGGGCAGAATTAGAGGAGCAGCTTCAGGCCCTGCATGAACAACTGGCTCTCCTATCCCATGGCCCAATATCTAAGAGACAAAAAAAATGGAAGAACCAGAAGGCAGAAAACATCAAGGCCAGGTTGGGACTGATGAAGATGGTGAGGGGCCTCAGGTACCTTGACCCTTTACCCCAAGAAATCCAAGAAAGCAAGCGACAGTGGGGGTGACAATGCTGCTACTCTAGGCCACCCTGGCTTTGGACTTTCAGGAAGAATTAGCAAGATACCCAGGGAGGCCACAGAGATAGCCCCACCTGGCTTGCCCATTGATTAGGGTCCAGAGGAGCAAGAAGAGAACAGTGCCGTGAGTTACGGGAGAAAAGGCAGTTGAGCCAGGATATCAAGATTACCTGGAGAGGAGCTGCATTGAGCCACACACATCACCTAAGCTAAGGAGCCCTCTTTATGAGACTCAAATCCAGAAGCAATTGGGATTGAATTTGAAACTGACAACCCATGCACACGTAGCTTGAGCACGGTTTTATCCTGCCTATGAAAGAAACTTAGAAACGTTACATTATTAAACGTGTGGGAAGAGTTTGAAATACCAAATGGTTAGCCACCCCCTACCCCAAAGATATATATAGAGAGAGACATGCACACACACACACACACACACACACACACACACACACACACACACACACACACACACACACACAC